CTCTGCCTTTCAGAAATACGAGATTTGGTCCCAGCCTGCTTGGGGAGGGGTTCTCCCAACATAGTCAGCTCCCTCTCTGCAGGGCACCCTGCAGAGTTTGGGGTTTGGGTCAAGGTCCCCCGAGTCTCTTGTGCTTCCCGGCACACCTCCAGCACCTGCAGCCACCCTCAGCAGACCTCTCTCTGTCCTGGCCCTTGTTCTGTGTAGATTCTTACTTGTCACTGGCAAATTCACCCATACAGAGAAGCGTATATTAAACCCCAATTGTGTGCCAGGCCCTGTTGCTGGGCACTGGGGACACAGGGCTACCAACATGGTCCCTGCTGTGATGAGGCAGTCACAGTAAAAGTGAACTCGGGCCCCAGATTTGCTGAGCTGAGCCTCCTGTGCCCATCCAGGCTGCCAGGCCAGCAAGATAGTCCCAGCCTGGCAACGCTAGGACCACGTCAGTTATTTTCTGGAAAATTTCAAACATACACAAAAATACAGAGAACAGTATAACAAACTGCAGAGAATAGTATCGCGGGCTCATCCTCCAGTTTCGGCATTTTCAACTGGAGGTGAGGCCTGTATACACCCCTCTGCTCCCCCACCTCCTCCAAATTAAGTTGAAGCCTGGCTGGCTGCTCCAGTTCTTTACTCTGCCCTAGAAATCACCTGGGGGACTCAAGTCCAACACCAGACCTTGCGCCCTCAGCCCCACCCTCCTGCACAGATGAACACATCTCCTTGGTGGCAAAGCCCAGCTCAGGGCTGCCTGGAGGCCCGTTTTCTCGCTGGCCTCTTGCTGGCCTTTCTGCAGGGTTGCTTGCACCACGGGGCCCCTGGGAATAAATCGAAGAGCTTTGGCTCTGCAGCCACAGGGCTGACAGGGCTGGCAATTCCTTCCCAGTTCATGTTCAACTTGTGTTTCCCTCCAGAGACAGGATCACTTAGAAACCTATAAACCCTTGGCAGGGCTTTCGGCCCAGGCGAGTATATAAACCGGGACTTGTAAAAGCATAATGGCCCCCTCTGGATGGTGGGGGAGAGGGGTGTGTGCCAGAACTCCTACGGACCAGTCCTGGTCATGTAAAGATCAGCAGGGGCAGGGGTGGGACTGGGGCCGGGGGCTGCCCTGGAATTCCAGCTCTGCCCTCTCTTGGTTTCAGGCAAGTCACCTCTCTGAGCCTCAGCTCTTTCCTCTGTGGAGTGGGGCGATCACGCTTACCTCACAGATGTTGTAACAACATCACGTACGTCTGTAGGAGTCATAAGCATGGGATGCAGTAGTTCTTCAGGTGACTGACAGGATGAAAAGAGCGTGGCTGGGCACCAGGAGGCCTGGGTTCTCCACTGCTGGTCACTGGCCTGCTCTCTAGCTGTGGGCCCGTCTCATTTGGGAAACAAAGGTTGCACAGGGCGACCAGTTCACAGGTACTCGCTGTGGCCCCCACTGTGCATGAGGTGCTATGCAGACAAGTCCTTGTTTCCCCGGCTTCCGCCTCTCCTGCTCCATTGAGGTATTTAACAAACAGGCACCGGGCGCCTGCAGTGTGCAGTCAGCAGCGAGAACAGATCAGGACCTGCCCCCATGGGTGTACATCCCAGTGGGAGCTTCTCGATCCGTTCCCTCCACAGCAGTGGGAGGGAGGGGGCGTCCTCAGGTATGAATCTGCCATGCCTCTCCCCACTGCCCCCTTGCCTGGCACCCCATTTCTCATCGGTTTCCTCCCCTGTGAAGTGAGAGGGGTGGATGTGGTGGCCCCCAAGGGCCCTCTCAGCCCCCACAGTCTGGGTGTGGGTGGGCATGGGGGGAACACAGTGCCAGAGGAAAAGAGAATTGGGAGGCAGAGGGAGTCCCTAGAGGGCAGATCCAGGTATGGGGAATCCCTGTGTCCTGCATCAAGGGGACCGTGGGCCTGGCCATGAAGGGCAGGAGCAGAGATCCTAATACTCGTTCACCCTAAGACCAGTGGCAGGTGGAATTCAGGCGGAGGAGGGGTCACCCTGCTCTGCGACCTCTCCCACCAGCACTTCAGCCCTCCGCTGCCCCAGCCACCAATGCTCTGTGTCACCTTGGGCAAGGGACTGTCTACCTCTGGGCCACAGAGGGTTAGGGAGACTGAGCAAAGAGGAAGCAAAGAGGCGAGTAAGGGGAGAGAGAAGAAAGATTCCTTATTTTGGATCTGACCGTGCAGTTGAAAGAGGGCAAGAGAAAGAGGAAATGGAAGAATAGACAAAAGGAATGAACTGGGAGGGGTGGGGAGAGGGAGGAAGGAGAGATTTGGGAGGGGAGGAGGGACAAAAGGGTATCAGCAGAGAAACCGTGAGACAGAGACAGGGAGGGCAGAGAGACAGAGACGGAGACAACCGCAGGGGAGCGAGAGGGAGAAGCGAGGGAAGGCAGAGAGGTTCTGGGGACCAAACGGGACAGGGAGACGGAAGGTGGGACTGGGTGATGGAACACAGAGGAACAGGGAGACAGAGGCAAGGCAGCGGGGAGACGGCCAGCCTCAGCCTGGGCTGGGCAGACTAGGGCCGCAGGGGCCGCCTGGAGTGTCTGGCTTGGAAGGGCAGCAGGGGCACCTGGTCGGCCTGGGCGCTGTTCCTGCATCTGGGTCCCCCCAGCCTTGGCCAACACCCAGAAGCTCTCCGGGTGAGAAATACCAGCCCCCTCCACCTGCCGCCCAGCCCTCTCAGTCACGCCTCCTGCCAATTAGGAGCAGTAATCACCAAGCCCCCTGGGATGGCACGAACTCTGGCTGCAGTGTCCGTAGCAATTGTCAGAGCTCAGGAGGGGCTGCGGTGTTTTCTAAGTAGTGGACTAAGAAAGCTCTGGCTGGGAAGGAAGCTGAGGTCCAGTTTCCCCGTGGGACCTAACCAGGGGCCCTGCCCGCTGATGAGCTGAGCCTAGACTAGGAGGGAGACCAGGGGGGCTTCAGAGCGTTGGGGCGGGGGGTCCAAGTATGTCAAGAGGAGGAGCGGAGGCTCAGAGGCCCGGCGGAGGGGCACAATCACATTTCCAGCTCTGGGGCATAGCGAAAGCTAAGGCTTATTGAGGCTAGTGTGCCGGGCTCCAGGCTAGGCGCCTGCCTTCATCTCCTACTCACTTGTCTGTCGTCTCTCTCTCTCTGTCTCTTTGTTCCTCTTTGCCTTTGTCTCCTTTCTCCCTTTCTCTGTCTCTCTGAAATTAAATGGGATCCAACTGCTGGCTCCCTGTGTGTTCTGCTCATGGATCAGCCCTTTTCATTATTAACAGAAATATGTCCTCATTGTACAGCTTAATTCTGCTTATCTGGAGTGGATTAAGTGCTCACAATGACATGCAGTATTGAATCCTGAGCATCCCTGTTAAAGGAATTTTGCCACAACCTAATTAGTTCCATAAAACCAGTGGGGGATGGGATGAGGGAGCAAGGGAGCCCGGGTGGGAGTCAGGAGCCCGGGGTCCTCAACCCAGATGCTGGGACTAACGTCGGGTTAGTCCCGCCCCGAGGGGCTCGCACAGGCACTGCTCTGGGAGGCTGGGGCTGGGAGAGGAGGTGTGATCCAGGTCACCCCCAGTCTTCAAGGGGTAGGCAGTGCAGTGGGTGAGAGCCTGAGTGCTGGAGCCAGAGGCTGGGGTTTGAATCCCAGCTCTACTACTTGAGGCTGTGCCTTACTTTACCTTCCCTCAGTCTCTGTATCTGAAAAATGGAGTAACTGTCCAAACAGCCCTCTGACTCGGGCAGTTGAAGAGGGTGAAGAACAGGGTATCAGGCAGAGGAGGGGAGTGCAGTGCCCTGACTTCCCTGACACTAGGCTGTGCGGAGAGGGCCACCTGGGGAACCATCAGTCCCTCTTCTCCTCCATCCCATGCTAAGCTCTGCCTTGGCTGCAGCCAGCCAGGAGCCAGAGGAAGGGAGCCCCAGACACAGTCCCCACGGGTGGGCCTGGACACAGAGAGGGGTGGAACATGTACCTGGGGGGTGAACAGGCGTTGGAGAGCTGAGCCACGTGAAGCATACGCAGGACTGACAGAGTTGCACTCCCTCGGTTAGGTGTAGTCGGGGCCTCCCTGGATTGTGGGGAGGGACCAGGTTCTTATCACCTGGTTCTTTCACTACATGGCTGGGTGGCCTTTCTGAACCTCAGGTCCTTCTCTATAAGGAAGGGGTTGCCTAGATCTTTCCATCTCACTTTGCCTACCTAACCCAGCTATGTGCTACAAAGAGGGGATAAAAAAATGCCTTCGACAGGGTTGTTAGGAGCACAGGGGAGGGCCTGGCACACAATAGGTACTCCATAAATGTGATCTCTCTTGAGGAATTTTTTCTACCAGGTGACCTTCAGGGCAATATGGTGAGATGCAATATGGTGAGACACTGTCCAGGGTCCCTGCACAGGTCTGGATGGTGGGCCTGTTCCTGGTGCTGGTCACTGGGGAGGGAGACAGGGAGAGGAGGGCGGCAGCCCCATGGGAGCCTTGGTGTCCTCGAAACTGGCCTCCTCCCGCCTCCCTGGCCATTTGGGCTGGGGTGAGGCTCTGCATGCAAAAGGTGCTCTTTGCACCCTGGGCCATCTGCAGGGACCCTGCCTCTTCCCCTTGCCTTTGGAGGCTGTTTGGGCTCTGTCCCTGGGAGGCCCTCTCACGGCCTGCCTGCTTTACCCAAAGCTACACCAGAATTGGAGCACATTTCCCACCCACTGAGAGGTCAGTGCAGGTATCCAAGGTCTGGGTCAGATGGATCTGGGTTCCAATTTCAGTCCCAGCCTTGGCCCTCCTGCCCACTAACGGGGATCAGCCTGTCTTTCATTGAGGCCCTGAGACTAGTGTGGGTGTCTACAAGGCTCACAGCATGTTGGTGGGGCCACGTGACTCAGGCACCTATCCCCACCGGGAACCCAGGGCCCGAGCTGGTCTCCAAGTGTTGTGAGCCCCCCATACACTGCTGCACATGCCTCCATTACACACCCCTCCACCATCCTCCTGCTCTCAGCCTCTAGGCTGGACCACTAATGCAGAACCAGGCCCCCAGTCTCATTTCCAGTTTTTAATGTTTTTCTTGTAAAACCAAAAATATAAAACTGGCAGGGGAATGGAAAACAAGTTCTGTACACTTTATATACACTATACACGAGGTCTGTGATTTTAAAACAATTGGGGAGGGAAAAGGAAGACACAGTCAAGGGACTGGCACAGGCTGTGGATCCTGCTGGCACCTCTGAGGGCCCAGCTGGGGCTCAGACGACTGCTCCCAGCCAGTGCTGGGCGGCCGCAGACCCAGACCCTGCATGTGTGGAGAGCTCCGATCTGGCTGCTCAGTCTGGGTGCAAGGAGGGTGGGAACACACTGGGTGGGCAAAGTGGGAGAGGGTGGACTGGTGTGGGCAGGGCCTTCCTTTAGGTGTCCGTGTAGATGGAGGGGATGTGACTCAGGCAGTGGTCAAAGGCCCCACTGGGGAAGAAGCTGCAGTCCTCAGGGCCACTGGACACGATGTCTTCAGATGGCTGTGGTGGCAGTGCTGTGGGGCAGGAGGCCTCGGCCAGAGCCTCGTAGCCTGTGGGGGTACAGGGTTGGGGCTAGAGAACTCAGGGTTATGCCTTGTCATCTTTACCTAGCTCCCAGACCCCACCCTCCTGCCCAGGGTCCCTCAGTAGGGCCTGATCTGAGTCCTCTGCCCTTCCAGGTTGGGACTGGGGACAAGGGGCTTGGGAGGAGGTGCCCGAGGCCTTGCATTCCCAATGGGCCCAAGCTGGGGAGATAGGCACAGCCTGGCTTGGGGAATTCATCACCCAGTTCTGGGCTGTGGGGCAGACTGTGGGAGGCAGCTCTTGCCTGGAGGGGCTAGTCTCCTCCTGGCAGATGGACCTCAGCCCACCCCACTGTTTCAGGTTCCTTCACCCCGCCAAACAAAAGAAACCCAAAGAAGGGACCAACACTCACTGGGCACTTAGTAAGGGCTTGGTGAAGCCTTATCTCACATAAGCTTCACAACAATCCTGGGAGATGGGACTCATTATCCCGTTGTAGAGCTGAAACGACAGCTCAGCAAGGGCAATACACCTCCCCAGGTTCAGTGGGAGAGGTGAGCTTCAAACCCAGGTCCACCTGGCTCTTCCACTGGACATGAAATCTCAGAGTGGAGTCCTCAACCCGGGAAGGGCCTGGAGAGGTCGCCTTATCCAGTCCCTGCCCTAAGGACTCTGCCTGAGCTGTTGACATGAACTTTTGCAGCCGAAGACAGGTGGGCCTCTGTCTTCCCATCTGTGCAATGGGATCAGGCTGAACTATTCCTGAGGCCCCAAGGTGCCACCTTGTTCAGTCCTGCGTGGTTATTCTCAGTTTGGCAGAGGATATGTGGGCAGCTGAGCAGGGCCTGGAATGGGCACTGGATGCTGGGCTGCCACCCATATAGCAGGGGATAGGGGAGGTCAAAGACCCCCTTGCCTTGCTGTGGGGGCATGAAAGCCACCTCTCAACCCCTCAGAACTATTTATTATTTCAGGCCTTGCTGCTAAACCAAGAAATCCCACCTTGGGCTGGCTGGGGGCTGGGTGGAGGATGGGTCGGTGAGAGCTAGCAGTGCTGGGGACAGTGGCCAGTGCCTAATCACACACCAATCCATGTGCTCTCAAACATGGTACACACCTACCCTGTGACTGTACACATATGGTGCATGTATGTGATATGTGTCCACCCCAGACATACTTACACCACACTTGAACACAGTCTGTGTACACAGACAGGGTTACGGGATGGGGAGCACATGTGTGTGTACATGGATGGGTCACATGGGAACACAGGTGTGTGCACAGGTGGGGCATGAACATCAGCACAAGCATAATGTGAGCACATGTGTGTATACATGAGCACATGTGCCCTGCAAGCTCCTTACACACTCATGGGGCTCACACTGCCTGGAATCTACCTGTGCCGGCCCCACATGCACACACACATAGACATGTTCCACAGACACGTGAAGAAAGAAGACATACATAGACATGGGAGCATGTGTGTGAACAGGAAACATGGCCCACAGCTTTGTGTGTGCTTGTCTGTGGCCTCGGTGCTTGTCCCTATGTCTTTATGCCTCCAACCCCAGCTGCCCAAGGGGCTTCCAGAACAGGGTCTCAGGCTCCCCTCTGTCCCAGGATCCCCACATCCTGCCCTGGCCTTGTAGCTTCCAGCTGGACCTGGGCCCTGGGGCTGATCTGGGGCGGGGCTTAACTTGGAGAACTCAGGGAGGGTCCAGCCCCACCCATCTGTGCCCCTTCTCCGACCAGGACTGGCACTGCTGGCCTGAGCCTGACTGGACCTTGGGCCTTGCACGGCCCTCCCCTCTCACTGGGCTTCTCCACCCCAGCCAAGGGCACTACCTGGGGAAGGCGCAGGGCCCTGTAGGGGACACAGATGTGGCACAAGAACAAGCATGACCTCCAGGCTGTCCCTTCCTAGCAGTGTGGCCCCTCTGGGCCTCAGTTTTCTCATCTGTTAAATGAAGATCACTGTTTGTCTCATTCTCTGCTGGATCCCCAGGGCCTACAACTGTGCCCGCACATAGTAAGTGCACAGTAAATATTCAAAGGGAACATCAACTAGACTGTGAACTCCAGTCTGGTTCTTCTCCATGTCCTCAGAAACCTGCCAGAATCCAGACATATGAGCTGTGTGAGATTGTGGGGAAACACGGACTTTGGGTGAGGCAGGGTGCAAATCCCCATTCTGTGGGGTCCTGGGACCTCTCTGAGCCTTCCATTCCCCTCTGTAAAGTGGGGATGACTCTGTCTCATGTGGCTGTCCCAAGGCTGTGGGACAGTGGGCATATAGCACCCAGCACAGGTTGGGCCTTGGTGGGCGTTCAGGGAAGGGAGTCATGCAGGTGGGGCTTACCTGTGGCAGGCAAAGGTGCACTGAGGCTGTGGTAGCCATTGGGCCGCAGGGGGTTGAAACTGTGGGCCTCTCCAGCCAGTCCGTCCCCACTGGTTGCTGGCTCGGCTATCCGGTAACAGTCGCCATAGGGGAAGCAATTCTGGATGGAGTGGAAACTGCCCTGGTACCCTGAAGAGGGAGGCGGCAGGGGCTGCATTAATGAAGGAAAAATGCCCAGGGTGGGGAGGAGACCGTCTCTGCTATACTGTGTAGCCTCCACTCCATGCTGTCCTATCCAGGCATGATGGGTGTGACAAAGAGGGAAGCCCCAGGTTGGAGAAGGTGCCAGGGGTCCTGGGCCCCTCTCCCAGCTCTGCCCTGCACCAAAGGGAGTGGGTGACACCTGACTCAAGTCATTTGTGGCTGATGAGAGTGCTCTGGGAGAAGGGACTATAGGTCCTCCACCCTCTTCCCCTCTGAGATAACCAATCACTCACTGCTCCTCCAAGCAGCAGGCTGTTCCCTGCCACTGCTGATGCTGTTCCCTCTTCTGGGAGAGCCTTTTGATGCCTTATCCATGGAACAAACTTTATCACTCACCCCTCAGAATGAATTTCCTCCAGGAAGCGCCCCTGACTAGGTGTGTTGGGTCACCTGACTCAGGCTTCTTCCAGTGTGGCCCTCAGTGTCCGCTATCGCTCTGTTACCCACCTGCCTCCTATAGGGCAGTGTCCCATTCCTCTTGGGCACCCTAGCAGGAGTCGGTGTGTGTACAGGAGAGGGCCCCCGGCCAGAGCTTACCTTGTGGGCTGGGCAGAGGGGGTGGAGGGCTCTGGAAGGGCGGGAAGGGTGGCTTGCTGGGGAGCATGGGGAAGGCCTGGCCCCCCGGAGAATGGCTCTGGGAGGATGGTAGTAGTGGTGGTGGCCCAAGCCCCTTCAGTGGGCTGACCATGGGTGAGAGGAGGCCGGGTCCCAACCTGGAGAAAACAAAGACAGCTGTGAGCGGGATGGGTTCTGGGGGATGTGGGGGCCAGAAGCATGGCTACCGTTGCTTGCTTCCCTCCAGCAACGGTGAGCTCACTAGATGATCTCTAACTTGTGACAGAAGGTTTTATTTCTGATTATGGTCAAACTGGAATGAAATTTTTAAAATCTTGTAAACATTAGAGCCCACAGAAATCAGTAAAGAAAAACTCCTGTTTTTTAGGACTGATAGCAAGGAATGCTGGTTACAAGCATAACCTTTGGAGTCTCAGAACTGTGTTTAAAGCCGTATCTGCTCTCACTGGCCAAGTGACTTCAGGCAAGATGCTTAATGCCTCCGAGCCATGGCTTCCCCAAAGGGTTGTTATGTCCTCTACGTGACACGCTGCATCTCCTATTACTCAGGGCTAAATACCAGCCACTCCTGCTGGATCCCAACCCTAACTACATGCAGCTCTGGTGCCTGGAGCATGAGTCCAGGAACAGTCACAGTGAAAGTCTCGGCAGTTCCTTAGCAGGAGACCATCCCACAGCACTAACAGTCACCATTTCTTGAGCCTCTGCTCCACCTTGTGTCCTCCCAGATCAGAAAACCAAGGTTGAGAGAGGTTGCCTAAGTTAGTCTGGCCACACAGCACTGACATACACAGTTACAGTGAGAGTAAAATAGATAAAGCAATGTAGACAAAGTACCAGTATGATGTCAGGTACATTCTCAGCCACTCTATGAATCATCATGATTATCAAGATGAAGGGAAGGAAACCTAGCAGGTAGGTCTGATGTCCAAGTTGGCCCCATGCCCTGCACAGTGTACTTTTAGTGACCTCTGTGTCCACTCCTGGCCATCTCTCCTGCACTTGCATACATCCCGTGGTGGGGCACTCATCGCCTTCCCTGAGGGGATGCAGGCCTGTGCTCGGGAAGCTCATGTTCTGAATCAAGGCTGCAACAGTGAGCTATGCAGTCACCGGAACCCAGCAGAGCCTGGGTGGGCCATCTAATTGGACTGCACATCACCGTAAACCAGGTTCCTTCCTTCTGCCATCTTCCTAAGGGGTGGTGGCCTGTTCACAGGAGTCTAAATGACCGTGGGCTCAGCTGGACTCAGGGACTCTTGGGACCAGGCTGAAGGGTCCCAGCTTATAAGCATGTATGTGCAACTGCGGAAAGAGGGAGAGAACTTGGGCTCCATTTCCTTGTTTGCATTTGTGGATTTTTTGGACCAATCACATTAAAATTCACTGCAAACTCAATGTCACAGCTCCAGGTGACCTTTGCAGGCTAGCGTGTTATCCTGGCCCACCTCCAAGACATGAGGTGTTAATGGGACAGATCAGTGCCTCTCTGGGGAAGCAGGACTATCTTCAAATGGGGAAAGGGGATTTGGGGAGAGATTGGGGGGCTCCATGTCTGTAGCTTTGTCCCTGTCTGCTCCCTCCAACCTGGGCATCCCGCCGCCACTGCCCTCCACTGTGCTGTCCACTCATGTCTGGGACCCTCACCGCTGTGAGTGCCCTGAAGGCGCTGCGTGCCAGGTCCCGAGCCCAGCATACAGCGCCTGTTGGCACAGCCTCCTTAAGTTAATGACCTCATCGAGGCTCCATGAATGAATTATCATCATTGTCCACAGTAATATTTTTAGGCCTGTCTCACAGGGCCATCAGGTGGGCCAGGGTCTTTCACTGTGCTCTATAAACTGTGGAGGGCTGTACACAAGCTGTGTGCCCTCATAACCAGTTCTCCCGGCTGGGCCGGGCGGAGGCGTGGCCAGGAGGTTGAATCCTCCTTCGGGCATGCTGGGTGGTTCCTGCCTGCCTGGCACCCACACTGCAGCTCTTCCCTGATTTCCTGCGGGACCCCTCCTGTGTGGGTCTCAGTCCTCTGTGACGTGGTGCTCAGCCCTGGGCCTGGCACACAGCAAACAGCTGATAAACACTAACAACAGGTTTCTGAATTGCTCAGCTACAAAACCCAGAGATTAACGGCACTGCAGAATTAAGGAGAACCAGATCTGAAGGGGGAAAAACATGCGTTTCCAAAGTTTGTTTTTCCTGTCTCAAACCTGCCATAAATCCACATTTGCCACCTTCACAGCCAGTGAAATTAAACAGAACGCGCTCTCTCCGAGCAGACGTGAGGGCTGGGGTTACGCTGCTCTACCTGAACCCTTTAAAAGGAAAAAGATCATCTGGAGCGCCTCTTCTGAGTCATGCAAATGACTCCTAAATCAAATATTTTTGCTCCAATTGGAACCTATAAAAATTAATATGAAACCTCACTGGCCTGGCAGACTTAGGACTTCATACCTTGTGCTGGGCCAGGGTAAAATACCACCCTATTTGGCGTCTTCTCTGAGCCAGAATAAATAAATTTGGTCATGAAGTCAGGCCCTCTTAGCATATTTTTGAGTGAATCAGATAATTCTGTCAGGCTATTTAAACGTCCCAGCAAACCGCTGGGGAGCCGCGAGTGGCCTTCCCTGTTGACTTTGGCAGGAAGGGGAGGCTGAAGGCCTTCCCCCCACCTCTTCTCAGGGGTTGAAAGAAGAAACCCATTCAAGCTGAGCCTGGGCCTGGTGTCAGGCGTGAGGGCCCCTCTCTCCTGCAGCCCGGAGGAGCCTGGGGGCCTGGTGGTGGGGATGACTCGAGCCCGGGCTCCCGCAGGCGCGGGTGGGCAGGCGAGCCGGGGGTCCGTCTCGGTCTTGTCATCACTCTGCCTCTCGTTGCAGGAACTCTTGACGGGCACTTACGCAGGCGGCAGGCAGGTGATGAATGAGGCAGAGCAGGGCGCACATGCCCGAGGGGGAAAGGCCTCTGTGGTTTGTTTTCTTTGGTTGGAGATGTTCTGGGCTGGTGGGTGAGCAGGTGGCCTGAGCTGGTGGGAGGGGGCTGGTGTCCATGGAAGCTGTACCAGGTGACACATACGGTGTCAGCACATGCAGGGATCTCACCACCTCCTCCAGGAGGGCACTTTAATGCTCCCTTTACAAAGAAGAAACTCAGGCTCCGGAAGGACTTGGTTCTCTGGGTTCCCCTTTGCACCTCGCCAGGCTGCCTCTTGGTGGTCCTTCATGCCCTCACCACCAGTCTGCCCTTGCTCCATGAATGGCACTTCTGCCCACCCAGGGGCTCCCCACTGACAGCCCCTCCTCTCTCCACCAGCCAGAGATTCCCTAAATCCTGCTTGTTTTATGTCACTAATGCCTTCTGGGGGTCCTTCCTGCCCACCCAGCGGCCCTGGCTCACGCTGCCATCCACCCCACATCCGATGCTGTGCCCCCACAGTCTAGGCTCACACTGCAGGCCGCATGTTCTCATCCCCAGACCTGACTGCATTACTGCTCAGCGCCCTTCACGTAGAGTCCCATCACAGGTCTTGTGATCTGGCCCCAATGACCTCTCTCTTGAGCTTGTCACCCCACACGAAGATTCCAGTGTTCCAGAACACACAAAGCTCTCACCACACTTGCCTTCACTCCTGCTGCTCTTTCCTCTCAGCCTCCACTCTGCTAACTCCTACTTAACCTTGGAGGCCCGGCTTAGCATCACCTCCAGGAAGCCTTCCCTGCCAGCCTCCCCCACCACGCTGGGTTCTCCTCTGGGCTTCCACAGTTTCTTCTGCTTCTTTCTCTCAGAGTGCATGTCTGTATAGTTAATCTCTGCAGGGCTGTCCCTGTCTCCTCCTCTTGGGGTTCTTCTCCAGGGTGGGAGGTCATCAGTGGTGCAGGGCCTGACCACACCAGGGGCTTAAATGGACTTTGAATAAAAGGGTGAGTGAGTAGGAGGAGCAGAGCTAGGGGCCCTGGAAAATAAATTGGTAATAAAGCCAGGTCAGCCCCAGGCATAAGTAGGCCAAGACTGCGGCCTTGGGGAAGAAGGTCAGGGGAGGAGGAAGGCTCTGGAGCTAGGCCCTGGGGGCAAGTTTAATCAAGTCCTGCTGGAGATAAGCAAAAGTGGCAGGGAGAGCCGGAGGCAGGGCAAGGAAAACAGATTTTGGCAGCATTAGAGGCCAGCAATTAGCACATTCACCATTTCCAACCAATTAAGCGGCCACAAGGGGAACCACATTGAATGCAGGAAGAGGGCGCCCCTCCCTACAGTGATCCTACAGTAAGTAAGGGCTCCTGGACAGTCCCACAGGCCCGGCAATGGGTCACAGCTGCAGTGGCAAGAGTGGGGGCGAGGCCCAGGTGGGCATCTCTGGAGTGGGCAGAGGGTAATCTGTTTACCAAATGCAAGGAGCGAGCCAAAGGGAAGCCAGGGTGAGGCTCCCAAAGAGCCCTGGGTGTGGCAGCCCAGAGGCAGGGGCTGGGTGAGGACACAGGACCACCCCCACAGGAGAGGACAGCTTACACAAGGTGAGGCATCAAGAAGTCCAGGAGGCAATATCATCTACCTGGTAGGGTTACTGTGAGGCACCAGAGAAATCGTGCACAAAAAGAGTTTGATATAGACGTAGTACATAGTTAAGCACTACCTAAATGTTGGCTATTTCACGATTAGTAACAACCATTTATTGTGAGGGACGCCTGCCCTCACCTGCCTCCCATGCAGGTGCCCACTTACTGCCTTGGAGGAGGGCTGGCTTGCTGTACATACCCATCCCTGGTGCTCTCAGCCATGGGCAGAGGAGACAGATGGTGGGAACTGATGGTGGCATCCAGTGGGTGGTGCCTGGAAGGGACATCGTGCGTGGAGGGCAGAATGCCTGGTGCAAGTCCATTATGGGGGGTGATGGAGCCAGGATACACGCCTGCAGGGAAGCAAACAAATATCACTGGGCTTCAGCCACTCCCTAGAGATGGCTGTGGACGACCCAGAAGCTGTGTGCCTGCTACAGAGAGACAAAGACAAGGAGGGGAACCAGGGAGGTTGTGTTAATAGGTTAGGGGCCCAAACAAGGGAGAGGCGATGGATCCACTCTGCCTTCTTGAAGGGCTGTGTGCAGAGCTGAGGCCGCCCTGAGAGCAGAGGTCTGACAAGGGCTGTCAGAGGTCCCGTGTGTGTGTGTGTGTGTGTGTGTGTGTGTGTGTGTGTTTTTACAGGGACAGGAGGACTGTATGGAGCAGGCTGCCTCAAATCTCTGGGGCTATTCTGGGAAAGAAGGGGCTTGCTTTGTGTGTCTGTGTAGCCCCAGAAGCAGACAGGGATCCTGGAATGGAGAGAAGCAGACTGTGGCTAGGCCAAGCTGCTGTAGGGTAATGGGCTGCCTTTGGGAAAAATGAACTCCCCATCATCCCGGAGATGTGCGAGCAGAATCTAGATGTCCAGTGTGAGGCGTTCCAAAGAGAGGACGACGGAGCTAGCTGATGGCAGGCCAGCCTGGGAGACCTCTGAGAAAGGACGTCACGGACGAGTGAGCAGGCTGCACACTGCACAAGCGTCCCACCGAGGAGAGGGGTCAGCTGGGCTCTAGTTGATTCTAAGCCTCTAGAGACACCTGCAGGTGGACACCACTTTTTATCACCTTTTACTCCCAATAGCCTTACCCTGGTTAAGAAGGTAACTGGGCACATGAATCAGACGGGCACTAGGTCAGTCAGATCTTGCTCCAGGGGCCCAAGTGAGGGCCTGAGTGTAGTTGCTGAGAACAGTGATTCCCAAATGCTTTCACCAAGGAACCCCAATTAGAGAAGAGAATGAACCCCTCTGGGACTGGAGCCTGAGTGGGACATAGCAAGGGCTGCAATTTTTTGATATTCCTATTTTATCTGAAAAAATGGGGCCAAATTTATTTTTTTTAATCCTAACCCGAGGATATGTTTTTTATTGATTTTAGGGGGAGTGGAAGGGAGAGAGAGAGAGGGAGAGAGAGAAACATCTGTGTGAGAGAGAAACATCAATTAGTGGCCTCCTGTATGCATTTTGAGGGGGGATCGAACCCACAACCTGGGTATGTGCCCTGACTTGGAATAGAACCCATGGCCCTTCAGTACAGGGAATGATGCTCCAACCAACTGAGCCACACTGGCCAGGGCAGTGAGGCCACTTTTGTACCCCTTCTTTAATCTGGCCATGTTTATTTGACTTTTAGTAGGAATTGACATCATTTTCCCAGAAACCAATTCATCATGTTGATGCCCTGGGAGGACTCTGTGGACCTGAGGGCAGTGCCCAGAGCTGTACTGATGCTGTGTCAACTCTGATTAGTCAGAGCTTACGCTGGGCCAGCTGTTACGTTTTAAGTATCAATCTGGTCATAATGGACCAGACACCATGCTTTTTTATCACCTCATGAGGACCACCTGAGAAGACATCACACTCTTTCACGGATGGGGTAAAGGAGGAACTTTTACTTCCTTGGCTGTTTAGGGTTCCAAGGCTAGCCCATCCCAGGCTGGCCCCTATGGCCCAGGCCTGCAATTCAGGGAGCTACTACAAGGAATGGAGCAGGGCTGTGGTAGAGATTGTGGTCTCAGTGCCTCAGGTGGCATGGCAGGGAGCAACACAAGTGAAACTGTGGAGGTTACAATAGGGAGTAGCAGAGACTGTGGCAAAGTGGACAGACTGTGCCCCCTAAGTCCTTTACATTGAAACTGTTAAAAAACAAAAGTGAAATACTGTGCCTATGAAACCAAACAGTTTACCACCCCTGGCCTGAAGTTAGAGCAGCAGACATCCTATGGATGGGTTTTACTAGGTAAAATTCTACTCTTACAATAAATGTGTATAATTAATAACAGAATATTAAGAATATACTAACAGTTAATATACTAACAGTTAATTAAGAATATACTATGTGAGCTATTTTTCCACACTGGTTTAACCATCTCAGTAACTCAATTATGGGGAGATAATACGATCCCATTTTAAGATGAAGAAACTAAGTCTTAAGAACTTCAGTGATTCGTTGAAAGTTACACAGTAGACAGCTAACCAGGTATCCCAAGTAATACCAAAAGAAAGTCCATTTAAAGGCAGGTCCAGGAAATGGCCTGGCTCCAGATCAGGTTATGGCCTGGAAGCCTCTAGTTCAGGCTGCACTGAGGGCTGAGTGTGGGACCCCAGGGCTGTGGATGGGATCCTGAGGGCCCTCTGCCTCTTTGCCCCAGTCCTTACCCCCATGGCAGCACAGCCTGCCCACCCACCCATGGCCTCCCTCGGCCACACATCCTTCCCCAGCTCGGTCAGGAAGGACCTGGAGGGGATTTCTGTGGATGGAGCTGGCTTGGCGCTGCTTACGGCTTGCTCTGCTCACCGCTCTTGCTCACCTCACCTGCCATCTTGAACCAATTTGGGGGCCTGACAGCTCGGAAGACCTAGAATCCTGATAAATCCTGCTCCCTCTCCCTCAGCCATGCTGACCTCATGCTTCTCACGTCCTCACTGCCCTGGATCTGTGAAAGGAGGCCTGCCAGACAAGCTGCCGAGGGTTTCCTATGAAGACAGCAGGTTCTTCCTGATGAGACAAGCTCGAGGGAGCTTCCTATAGTCAGACAATGAGAATTCAATGTCACCCTCACCAGCTCCTGCCTTGCCCTCACCCTTCTGTTCGGGACTCTTCTATCCTAACACTGCTTGAATCTATCCCCTGCTTCCCCAGTCTTTGCCCTGCCCTGGTCCAGGTCCCTGCTTGTCCTGCCCCCTGAGGATGAACACATGAATGAGACATGTTGAACATGTGGACAGACAGAGGATGGAAATGAGGGCATCACCGCATCATGATGGGCGGCGAGAGTGGGGACGCCATGGGGCTGGCCCAGCCTCTCCCCAAAATGCATCACTTCAGGCTGTAAATCAGCATCATCAATCATCAGCCGTGAGCGCTTAACCTCTGGCCCTAGCATCTGTTGCCAACTGTGCTTCAGGCATCTGCCGGCGGCCCGCAGCAGACTTTGGCAGCCGATCCGGGACTCCTGGGTTTGCCTGGTTGGTCCTTCCAGGCTGCACGAGAAGCTGCTCCAGGTCGGGGACCAGCACAGGGCCTGGCACACAGTAGGTGCTCAATTTGGCAAGGTGTAGTCTTAGCAGCAGACAGGCAGCAGACTATTCAGTTAAGGGCACAGCCTGCAACCAGACGGCCTGGGCCTCTGCCATTTACTGGCTGTGGAAGCTCAGCAAAATGTGACTTGACCTTTCAAGAACTCAGTTTCCTCACTGGAAAGGAAAGCGCACATGAGCACGTATTTTCTGAGGATTGTTAGTTAACATGTGCGTGTCTAGTACCTAGAACAGCTCCTGCACACGCTCCATAAATGCTGGCTGTGGCATGACTATGAGATGGATAAGTACATAGTTACTCCTCTCATTCACCGTGAGCCACAATAATGACGATGACAAAGTCATCAGTCACATGGAGTTTATATAAGTGACCACGTCCACAATCACACTTGTCATCACAGCAGGTCCGGGGGGACCTGATGCTCAAGGCAGGGAAGACACAGCTGTCAGACAGGCCTGGGCAGGCTGCTGTTACCTCAGTGCTGCCTCCTCAGTGGTGTCACCTCAATGACTTTGTTTCTCGTCTGTAGCCTGGACTTACTGGGAACTGAATGAGATGATGTTTGTAAAGTGACCAGCCCAACCCAGTGCTCAAGAGATGGTTGTTGCTGGCCCTGGCCCCTCCCTCTGAGGTAAGCCCTGGGCTGGCATTTGGGAGAAGCAGCTTCCAATCTGGATCTGCTAAGGATGTCTGATGACCTTGGATCAGTCCTGCTGCTGCCCAGGCCTGAGTCCTCCCAGGGTAAAAACAATGGGGCTGCGGGATCTCTGTCCAAGGCAGCTACTGCTAATCAGTCACAGCCCTCCTTCCTGATGAGCCGCAGGATCCTTCCTAACACAGAGCTCCATGTAGTCACTACCAGTGTAGGGAGCTGGCACTTGAGATGTAAACCTTCATCCCTGGGCTGGGTTACCCCTATGGTCCCTTCTCACCCTGCCCTTTCAGCAACTCTGACCCTGTGAGAAGCAGCCCTTGGCTGGAGGGAGAAAGGTGTGGAGCCATCCTGAGGTATCCTTGCCCTTGTGGGCCTGTCTGTGCGCACACTAAGTGTTTCGATAGTTTGAAATCTACTGCTACTTCAATGCTGAGAGGAAGGAATAAAAAATTGGAAAATAAAAAATGTTCAAAATGGTTGGCGTAATTCAAGAAATCCCAGATGGTGGAAAGAGCTTTCTGCTCTGATACTGTGGTTTCTTTGTGGGGAGGGGAGAGCACAACTTTGTCAGTTGGGATCCATAGGCCACACTGCCCTCCATAGATTCCTAAGCCAAGCAGCCAGGAGCTCCTGTCGGGCCTGAGACTTGCCCCATGGCTCGTGGCTGTGGGGAGGGACATACAGGCTGCCTCGGCTGGACCAGAGGCTCTGAGTGTCTGGCTGGCTGGGCCTTTAGGGATCCAGGGGTTTGGGGGGGTATCTCTGGGCCAGAGAGTTTAGCAAGGAGCTGGAAGTGATTATGGCCAAGGTGCCCACCCTCTCAGAGCCTCAGCTTTCTCCTCTGAGAGAAGGAGTCATGGTGAGGAGCACATGGGGCTTCAAGTTGAGGCCCAGGCCTGAGCCCTAAGGTGGGTCCTGAAGGAAGGGAAGGAGCTGCCTTAGTGGAGAGGAGGAGAGAGGAGGCTGGCAAAGTGTGTACAGTGGCTTGGAGGAAAGAGGGAGCACAGGGTGTTCAGGAAACTGTGTCCAATGTGCCAAGGGTGGGCCAGGAGGCTTCCAGGAGAGCCTAGGCCCCTCCAGGCCTCGGAGGCCAGGCTGGGAGGAGGAGCCTGGGCTTCATCCCATGGGCAATGGGGAGCCACAGAAGAGTGTGAAGGAGGGTACCCCTCAGCAACTCATGCCTACATGGCCTCTGCTGGCCCACAGAGCATCACTGTCTTCCTATGGGACTGGGGGCAGTGAAGGACCCTACAGGCTGTGAGCCTGGCCCTGCCTCCCAGCACGCATACCTGGGAGCAGCTCCTGGCCCAAGGCTCGGCTGCCCTTCCCGTCGCTGGCAGCCAGCTGTGTAGACGCATGAAGCTGCTGCAGGGCCAGACACTCTGTCAGGATGTCGGCCTCAGTATCAGGGCCCGCGTGCATCTGGGGAACAAGCACAGGGAGAGAGGGTGTTAGCATGAGACAACCTGCCCTCTAGCAACCCTCGCTTTAGGGGAGACAGGGCAGGAAAGACAGTGGCCCCAGGGCAAGACCCTTCACCTCACTGTGCCTCAGTTTTCTCATTTGTAAAATGGAGCTAACTGTGTACCTTTTGAAGGTTGTGTTAATTTGGGTGTGAGAAGCAGATGCTAAGACAAGACTAAACATGCAAGGGTTTTAACAGGGAATGTTTATGTGAGAGAGTTGGGCAGGCTGCGAGAGCCATCAGACTGCGTTACAAGTCTGACCCCAAGGGAAGGAGGGAGGAAAAGGAGGTTGGTCCTCAGGGAGCCAAAGTCTGCTGGAAGTTAGGGGGGGTCCTGTGTCTTGCAGGAAGGGGTCTTGCCTCAGCACAAACATTAAGATGGGTGTCCCAGTGCAGCTGGAGGTCTGTGAGGCATGGAGGCTGCCAGGAGAGCCTGTGACAGGGGTGAATGAATGCGGTGCAAGCAAAATACAGTAGGTACAAGGAGTCTTTCCCTCCTTCCTCTACCCGCCCCTACCATTTTCTTTCTTTCTGACATAGGTGCAGTCAAAATAGTCCAAGGCTAGGGACAGAAGACCTGGGTTTATATCCCATTCCATCTCCTCTTCCTCCCTGTGTGACATTGGACAAATAACCTCTCTGGCTCTCCCCTCCCTGCCTATAGCAACAATCATCCCCTTGCCCCCAGCTGCTATGAGGAGTAACAAATGATGGGTGCAAACACCCTTGTTGAATGTGCTGTGTGAAGGGCTAGCTGACTCCGGTTGGCCAAGTCTCGCCTGGTCCCATGACAGGGGGCATGCTCGATACATATATGGACCTGAGGTCATTGACTAAGAGCAAGGCTGGGCTGGCACAACCCTCAGCTGTCCCTTAAAGACAGACGAGAGCCTGACACCTCAGAATGTCTTCTGCTCTCCAGATGGGGCCAGATGGGGCCAGGGAGGAACTGATTGGGGCCCTAGGGACATTGGGTGAGGAGAGGGCATGCACCTGGATAGGAAGGGCCCCTTCTCCCAGGGAAATTCCAAAGCCTGACTGCCAGAGCCCTGAAGATTGATTTGTCCAAATCCTCATTTTACCCAGGACAAAACCAGCTCAAAGAAGGTGAGAGCCTTGTCTCATGTCACACAACAGCTGAGAGTCAGCCCTGAGGGTTCTTCCACCCTTTCAGCCCAGAAGGGCCAGCACCCAGGTTTGGGGAAGGCATGCCCAGCCTCACAATGGGCTCTCAGCTCCTTGACCCAGCAGCTGTTTTCCATGTAAATTAAGTTTCTGGCAAAAGAGGGCCCAGGCATGCCTCTCAGACCGCAATGTCGATCGGATTAGGAGCAGCAGGAGAGGAGAATTAGGGAAGGAAAGCATTTCTAATTCTCCCTGAAACGCAGTGGGGCTGCCAAGGAGCTGTCATAATACAAGGGTCGCTTACCCAGAAAGATACACCATCCCCGATGGCTCTTAATGGATGCTTATTGTTGGGAAGTTTGCAGATCCGTGGCTCCAGGTCCCTGGGGCTCAGTGTGAGCCAAGCATGGGGCCTGGGAAAACCAGGGCAGGACTCTGATCCTCAGGCACCAGTCCGCCGGGGACAGAAGCATCCCTGGCATGGAGCCTGGGCTATTCTCTGTCCTCACTCAGGCCCCTGAACCTGAGAGCGGTGTAGAGAGCTCAGGCTCTGAAGACGGTCTGGGATGGCACCCTGGCTCTGTCACCCCTGTGCTGCACAACTCTGGGCAGATTTGTGAACTCTCCAAGCCTCAGTTTCTACATCTCTAAAATGGGGGAAAACAGTGCCCACTTCCTAGGACTGAATGAGATACCGCCTGTGAAGCAACAGCTGAGCCTTAAACTCAGCCCTCCGTGCTCTTCTGCTTCCGATGGCACCACTGCCTGCAGGATGAAGACCAAAGTCTCAAGCCCGGCTGTCTCCCCACCACTATCTTCTCCATCGAAGCCTGCCTGCTCCAGGACCCTATCTCTGTACCCCAACCCATGAGACTAAAGAGGTCTGCTTTTTCCAGCTTCCAGGCTTTTCTCTGCCTTATCTTCAGCCGTCCCCACAGTTCTGAGAACAGTGCCTGGAAGACTGGGTGCTCCACAAATCTTACTGAGCAAATGAATGGGTTCTCCCCCCTGTCATGTCAATGCCCCTGGATTGGGCCCTGATGTTTCTCTTCACCCCCATACCCTCGCTGGCACTGAGGTGTGCCAACTCCCATGGCCCCAGCAGTCCCCAGGAGTACAGGTTAATCCCAGCCAGTTGGCTCTGCCCCAAGTTGCAGTCCTGTCCCCCCAGCTGCACTGGGTCCCTCAGCAACTCACACACTCCTTGTCCCAAACAGAACCCGCCGCTTTCTCCTGCAAACCTGCTTCTTTCTCAGATTCTCTGTCCTGGTGAGGGCAACCACCATCCATCCTGCCTCTCAAAGTCTGACACTGGTGCTCCTCTGCCACTTCCCACCCAGCTTAGCTGTCACCAAGCCCAATCCCTCCCTCCCACTCTGGCCCAGGTCAGCCCCCACCATCTCTCCTGCTCCCAGCACTGGCCTCCCTGCCTCAGATTTCCCTCCAACCACCCCCAACCCATTCTCCAAGTGGCCCCCAGAGCCACCTTTCAAGGTGACATGTCCCTCCCTGGCTTAAGACCCCTCGATGGCACCCACTGTCTTCAGGGCAGCCCAAACTCCTCTGGCCTCTCATGTCTGTCCCACCCCCTTACCTCTCCTCCTTGCCCACTAGGCCTCACACAGTGTTTCACCCTTTAGCCACTCTGAGGTGCACTCTTGCATCCTTACCCGCCCAACGCTTCCTCCCCCTTCAAGACTTAATGACAAAATGCACCACCTTTTGTTCTGAGCTTTTACTTTGGGCCAAGTGTTGTTCTAAATCCTTAACATATATTTACTCATTTAATTCTCATGACAACCCTTTAAAGCAAGTCCTCGATTGCCCCACTGAACAGCTGAGGAACATGAAGAATGAAGGTGCTAAGAAACGTGCCCAAGGCCACGGGGTAGGGGTGGTAAGCCTGGCAGGCTGGCTCCAGAGTGCACACCACTGTGTCTACTGCTCTTGGTGTCATTTCTTCCATGATCCTCCTGTTCCCACCCTGACGGGCTAAGGCCCTTGACTATTCTCTGCACATCTCTATTGCATTCTTTATTATGTTATCCTGAATTACCTCTTTACGTCTGTGTCTCACCCTCCAGGTCCCCATTGAAGGTGGGGACCACGGTTTTCCATTTTTGCATCTTCAAGCCCTACACAGTGCCTGACATCAAATGTTTAATAAGTGAACCACAGTGAGTGGGCAGATGGATGAGAGAGGGGTTGGGAGGTCTGTCTGGCTGTCTGGGGGTGAAGACGTACACTCAGGGGATGGGTGGGAGGCAGATGGTGGACGATGGGCCTCAGCATCCCCAGTGTGTGGAAGGGTGAGTGCATGCAAGGAGTGTGGGTTCCTGGCTTGATGCTGGACATGGGCTGAGAGGCCAGCAGGGGTGTCTGCAGAGGTGGGCCTGGAACAGAGGCCGCCTTACCTTCTTACGCACCTGCTGCTCTTTGGCGGAATGGGCCTTCACGTGCTTGCGGAGGGAGCTGGGGTCCGTGTAGCGCTTGGAGCAGCCAGGAATTTGACAGGCGTATGGCTTCTGCAACATCAGAGGGCAGAGGGTGAGTGAGGGGACACCTGCCAGGCCCAAGGTCCTGCTGTGCGGCCTGTGGTGGGAAGGATGACTGGGCAAGGGGCAGGCTGCAGGCTCACGCCCTGTCCCTCCCTCCATGTCCCCAGCCAGTAGGGGTCTGACTCAGCCAGCCCTGCTGGTGGGTGTGGGGAAGGTGCCTGGCCTAGGAGTGAAGGAGGGGATCTGTGTCTTGATTCCACCCTCATGTGGGGACCTCAGGTACGTTTCCTCTCCTCTCTGAGTCTTGCTTTTCTCCTCTGCAGAATGGGGCCCACTGAGGATTCTCCCAGCTCTGACACTGACTCTTAGAAAGAGCTGCAGGGAACCAGCAAGGGGACACGGAGTGAAGTGAGGTGGGTGCCTTGGAGAGGAGGAGAGGGGAACAGGGAGGGACAGCATGGCGCAAGGGGGCACGATCATGGGGTTAGGCTGGAGGATGGCAGGACTCCTGGCCGGGAGCAGCTGACCACACCCGGCAGTGGTGCCAGAGTCCCCAGACTCCTCTCTGGCCTCCGACAATCACGGGAGGCCAGAAAGGAACTGGGTCTCAGACACAGACTTGGGGAGGTTGGGTGTCTGTGCCCTTTGTTTCCCCTACCCATCACTCTTCTAGAACAAATCCATGCCTATTGCCTCCCTTGGTTCCTGCCTGGGCCCCACCCTGCCCTCTGTGCCTCCACTCTCCCCTCGCACTCAGAGCCGGAGGGCCTTTCTCACAGAGGCAGCCATGCTCTTCCAAACTCTGCATGACTCCCTGGTGCCCTGGGATACGGCCCATCTCTGGCCAACAAAGGCCCCTTGTCACTTGGGCCCTGCTTAAGTTTTCACTCCTCCTCTTGCCCCTGCCTCTAGCTCTCATCACATCCTCTCCAAGCCCTCCTCGAATCTCCTTCCCACCTCTACCTCCTGAGCTCCCCAGGGGCAGCCCTGCCCACCCTGCGCTGCTGCGTTCGTCCACTGTCCACCAGGTGGTGAGTCTTCCTCAGGGAGGGTCCTTGGTTCCTCTCAGGTCCCAGGGACTGAGCCAGGGCAGGGGCTCCGTGGACATAACCGGATTCTAAGCTCTCCCACGGGGGCTTCCACACACCCTGCTTAAGGACTCCAGCTGCTATTGGGCTTGAGCTCCCTATGGCTTCCCTTTTTGAACACGTCCAGTGGCTCCGATTTCTCAGAGCCCTCTGGCCTCCAGGGACTGTGGGGGTCAGGAGAATGTTTGCAGTAGGTGGCACCTCTCAGATTAAGTACCAGGGAATGCTGTGCCCCCCCAACCACTAGGTAACTCTGCCTTCTGGACCGAGGTGAGGTAGGTTGACCTCAGACTCAGGGACCTCGTGGGGAGAGGGAAGCAGAAAGACAACCATACCTTGGTGCTGCCACGGAGAGTTGCCAGTTAAAGAAATGGAGGAGAGCAAAAAGAGAGACAGAGCAGTGAGCACTTGCCTTGCCGGAAGGGAGGTATGGGGTGGGAGGGTAGACAGTACTCGTCAGACTGACACCCACCCAACCTCACAGAGAGGCAGACATTCATGCACGTGCAGACAGACACACACACGCACACACACACAGGGCTCCTCTCCCACAGGCTCGACCCCCCCGCACCCCAGCATATGCAGAGATACACTCACACAGCCCCTCTCTCATGGGCCTCACCCCACCCCAAGTCCCTTCCCCCCCTTCTCTCGCTCTCTGGCTCTGCCCTGCATGGCCCTGGGCCCTGTTCCTTGGGGATGCTGATACAAATCCACACGCTTTTGTCAAAAAGCAAACAAACAGCTCCATGTGTGCAGGCACACTTGCCGGAAAGAGGGCACAAGGCCCATCTCCGTGTTTGTTTTTCCAGGGCTTGACGTGTGTAGAACATTCCTCCGGCCCAGCTCCCCCGCGAGCCCTCAGGAAACCCTGCGGGTGTCCCAGCAGCAGCCAAGTCCCAGGCCTGGAGTCACTGCACAGGCTCCAAAGCCTGGTTACTAACAAGGGCTCTCAGGGTCGTGCTAGGAGGCCAAGCAGTGCAGCTCACAAAGCCCTCCAGGTCTGTGCTCCAGAACAAGAGCCCCCCTCCCCCCCAGCAGGTCCTGTGCCGAGCACCTGCCATCCCTGGTCTTCCAGTCTCACACCCAGCCTGGGAGAAGCATCTCCACTTGGCAGGTGAGGAAATTGAGGTTGATGCTTTGCCCAGGATTTCAAAGTAGGAGTGCCCGTGACACTCCACTGGGTGCCTTCTCTTGAGCTCATAGCCCTGAACAGTCCAGGGAAGTGGGCAAAGGAGAGATGATCAGCCCCATCTTGCCGATGGGGAAACTGAGGCCAGAGTAGGACAGTGGCCTATTTAGGGAATCTGTGCAGTCAAGAATTGAGCCTTATACTGGGTGCCTGGGATGTGGCCATATTTGGACAGCATTCTGTCAGCGAGTCATAGGACGGGAAAGGAGGGACTTGTATTTGCTGTGTAGACTGTGTCAGGCCTATATGTCTGTCATTGCTGCCGATTCCCATTTCTCTCTTATAAGGCAGGTATTTGAGGAAACTGAGGCCCAGAGAGGCTAGATGACATTTCTTGGACCTCTGGGGTAGATGGAGGGCCAAGGTTAGGACCCAGGCTGGTCCTCTCTAGTCTGTTCCACCACTTTCCTACCCATGGAGAAAATCCCATGTTCTCTGGTGCCACAGAGGAGATGGAGACAGACCAGGTTCCCTCTGGAAAACAAGGCCCAGACTTCAAGGGGCTAACTAACCCTCTAGGCTCTGAATCCCAGGTGCTGGGAAAGCAACCTAGCCCCTTGGAGCTGCCTGTGATGTTTGTGGAGATGGGTGCAAGCAGGGGCCGAGTTTGGCAGCTGTGTCTCCCAGGCTTCACCAGGACCTTCTGGGACAATGAAGGCCTGAGATGACCCTGGGGGCTCATTCTGGGCCTGACCTGACCTAGTCCTGGAGCTCTGTTCACACACCAGTGGGGGCCAGAGGCCTGCTGCTTTGGGGCTGGGTCCAGGAAATGCAGTACAGAGGGAGGGAGGAAAGGGGGTAAGTCAGGGTGGGTGACCCTGAGAGTCCTGGAAGGACATTGCCTGAGCCTGGGGGGAAGGGGCTCAGGGAGGCCTAGTGCTGTTGGTACTCCCTGTGGCCTCTGGGAGACATAACCAGGGTGCTGGGGCAGATAGCGCCTCTCAGGGCCTGGGCTCGCCCCAAGGGGAAGGGCTGGGTATACGAGAAGGTAATGAAAGTGGGGGATTTGTTAGCATACTCCCTCACTTCATGTCCCCAACACAACCTGTGTCCATGCAGCCTGAGAGGGGAGAGGTGGTGAAAGGGGTCAGGTTCAGGTTGGGGACAGGGCTCTTTCTTCTTACCCTCATCCCCTCTGCTCAGCTCCACCTCTCCAGGGTGGCTGACAGCCCTACTTTTCCAACAAGGGCACTGGACTTGGAATAAGACAGACCCAGGTTGCATCCCAGCTCTGCCACTTACCCGCTGGGTGACAGTCAATGCCTTCATCTCTCTGAGTCTCCGTTTCTTTGTTTATGGTAATGGCCCCTACCTTGTGGATTGTTACCAGGATTAAACTGGGGGAGGGTTTGTGTGATATGGGGTTCCGGGGAGATGTGTAGGACATTCTGCTCAGGGCCTGACCTGGACCCAAACATGACATCCCTGCTATTTTCTGCCATCCTCTCCCATCTTTTTTGCTTTTGTTTTCCTAGCTATAAAGAAATGGCTTGGACCAGAAGGCCTCCAGCTCTGATCTCTGTTGCTTCATGGACTCCAGCTTTCCCTGAAGGGGTCAGTTGCCCTCTGGGGCCTCTGTTTCCTCATCTGCATATCTCTGCACTGGACAGGCTGAGCTGGATGGCCGGCTACTCAGGTATCCCAGCCACCCACCTGCAGAGTTCCCCAAACATCTGCATGAAGTGCAGAGACAGGCAGGCTGGGGGCCCAGATGTGGAATCTGGCTACAGACCCATCTTCTGCAGCATGCGGGGGCTGGGGTCCCCCAGGCTGTGTGCACCCTCTCACACAGGCCCTGTGGGACTGGTGTGAGGCCCACTCTGAGTCAGCTCTGCCTCTTTCCAGCTGAGCAGGCACTGAAACTCCCAGAGTCCTGCTTCCCTCATCTGTGAAATGGGTTAATGACCCCTGACTGGCAGTTAGTATGAGATCTCAGAAGAACATGGGAAGTGCTCTGTTAACCGCTGAGGTCTGTAGGTACAGAGAGAATGCTGGGACCCACCCTGTGAAAAGCTGCGGGTCATCTCACTGTTCAGCACAAACAAGGGAAAGGAAGGGATGTACAGGCACCTGGGGCCAGGTCACTATTCCAGGAGCCCAGAGTCTTAGGCCCTGCTCACCTCAACTCTTCACCCACTCAAGGGGCTCAAGGGGTAAAGAAAGGCCTGGAAAGCCTCTGGTCTGTCTCCACAGAGGGGTTGGGGTGGGAAGAGCAGGGAGGGCCTGTTCTGGGGGTGGCTTGACCACTCAGGCCTGGGGAGAGGATGTGGGATGCCAAGCCCACCCTCTCCGTGGGGAGATGCAAAGATGCTGGTGCCTGGTGGCACCCACAGGCTAAAGCAGTGGTTCTCAACTGGGAGAGACTTGACCATCTCCTCCCCAGGACATTTGGCAGTGTCCAGAGAAACTGTGGGTTGTTACAGTGGGAGATGGGAAATCACTATCTAGTGGGTAGAGTCCAGGGATCTGCTAAACATCCTCTAATGACAGGACGTCCCTCTCCCCACAATCATCCTGCCCAAAATGTCAATAGGGCTCCAGGATGAAGGTGGGGTTTCTGCACGGACTCTGGCTCCCGTTCTGCATTAGACAAGTTGGGGAGCATGCACACGTCCCCTTTTCCCACTGTCCCCCACCCTTGGGCTTACCGTATCGAGGTGGGTGCGCTGGTGCTTGGCGCGGTCACTGGAGTTGCTGAAGGCCTTCTGACAGCCTGGGTGCTGGCATAGGTATGGCTTCTCGCCTGTGTGGCTCCGCAGGTGGATCTTTAGGTTCTCCAGCCGTGAGAAGGCCTTGCTGCAGCCTTCAAACTGTGGGAGAGGCTGGTGAGAGGTGCTCTGCAGCCCCTGGAGGGCCCACCACCAGCCTGGACGTGGGCCCCAGCATCCTCTGCCCTCCCCACCCCCCTCACCCCACCCACCTCATCCGACGTCTCCAGGCACCCCAGTTAGATCCCCATGAAGTGGTCAGGGCCCAGACACTATCTGGGAAGCCTTGGCAGGTGCACCCCTGGCTTAGAAATGGCCACCTGGGCTGGAGAAGACAGTGGTCTTTCCATCTGTGGATCTGGAAGGATTCCCTCCCCAGCGGCCCCTGGAAATGATGGCTGCTCTGACAGCAGCCCAGCCCAGAGTGGACCGATGGCAGGGACACCTTGTAGTGCACACAGCCCTGGGTTTGACAGCCTTTGACCTCCCTGTGCCTTATTTCCTTGTGTGGCCACCACTCAGGGCTGATACAAGGGTCCCAAGGAGCAGGACATGGACTGTCAAGGGCCTTGTCCATCTGGAGCGCAGACCAATGCTGACTGAGGTCAGAACAATGACCACGTTGTAAACTCAGTGTCTTTGATTAACCGTTTGGCCATTTAGCTGTCCCATGCCCACCATGTACCAGGCCCCATGCTGGGCATGGACATGCAGTGGGTATAGCACAAATGCACGATGCCTCTGGTCAGAGATGGGGGTGGGGATAGACAGAGAGCAACAAACACAGCACCCTCCTCCTGTGGCCCCAGGCTGTCCTGCTCCGGGCAGTCTCTGCCCAGCTCCGATCTCCCTCCTAGATCCTCCCTCCCTGTTCTCCACACTGCTGCCCAGAGGAAGGCTCTGATGCAGAAATGCATCTGGCTGAGCTCTGCTTAAAACCCTTTGGGCCTGGCATTTGAACCCCTTCTTGCCCCTCCTGACTCCACCCCACACTTTGGGAACAACAGGAATCTACCAGACAACTTCAAGCCTTTGTTCACGCAAGTCCTTGAGCAAGGAATGTCCTCTCTTAACAGTTCATCCAATCGGCCCTCAGCCTTCAAAGTCCAGCTCAAACACTGCTTGGCAGAGGCCAACCGTGGTCCTCTGGGGTGACTGGCTGCCCCTTTTGTTTTCCCCCACTATCTGGCTATGTTCCTCGTGATCCATGCCGTGGGTAAGGGGACACCAACACTGACCCGCACCTGCTCTGTCCATCCAGACCTGGTGCTGGATGTTTAACAACTAACCCATGAAGTGTGTGGCCTCAATGTCCCCACCTCAGAGATGAAGGCTTCCTGTGGTGACCACAGGACTGTGACAAGGCAAAGACAGGCCACAGGCCACATCTGATGCCAAAGTCCAGATAAGCAGGGGGAGGTGGCCCTTGAGGAGTATAAGACCAGAGGAGGCCAGTTCCCTCTCCAGAGTGATTGGTTTTAGCCCCCAGGCTAGGGCTGAACTGCCAACCAGATCAGAACCCAGGCGCCCCACGGCTCTGAGCCAGGCCAGCTGTGTCCCCGAGGGCTAGCACTTCCACAAAGGCTCCTCCCCACCCCTTCTCCAGGCTTATGGGGGGGGGGGCGGCTGATAGCTCCTGCCCATGTCCACACTTGGAAGACATGACTTCCCTCTTCTGAGCTGGGCACTGGGCTCCTTTTGCCCCCACCTCCCAACTTTAAAGGTACCTTATGTGTTCGTGAATTTACGGGTGGGAGCCTGGAGGGGACTGTGGGCAAATTCAGACCCAGCAGTCTACCCAGCCTATTTTCTCAGCCCTGAGAGGTCAGTGTCCCATCCAGGGCAGTTCAGAATATTTGGTGATTTTCAGTACACGCTGTTCAGTTGGACAGATCGGCTCCAACCTTGTGCTGGGTAAGGCAGAGACAGGGAGAGAACCCAGACAAGGGTCCTACTCCACAAAGGGGCAGAGCCCACGGGGAGGCGCACACACATCCACACACCCTGTCAGAACAGATCACAGCCGCCAGAGCTGTTCCGGAGGGAAAATGGGGCCTGCAGCAGCACAGAGGGAGCAGCCAACCCAGCCTGGGGAAGGAGAGGGGTGGCAGACTGGGGGGGCAATATGAGCTGAGGGAGACATGTAGTCGGTCATGCTAACACTGACGCATTCACTTCATTCAGTCCCAGCTGAGCCCTGAGCAATGACCAGGACACCAAAGAAGAGTGGGGTGACCAATGTTGAAGGCCTAGGGGAGGCAGGCCTAGAGCCACCACAGTGCCGGTAAGGCAACGAGTCCCTGTGGGGGCCCCTCTAAGGCTGGGTGTGGGGTATACGGTAGGGATGTGGGGTGTGCTCTAGTGGGTGAGGAGCCTACAGGGAGATGGGAGGCCAGGGAGTGGGGGCTCAAACAGCAGGCTGAAAAGTCTGGACTCCACCCCAGGGGGAGGGAGACCATAAAAGGGCCTTAAGAAGGGAGGGCACAGGGTCAGACATGCACTTGAGGAAGCCTCCCC